GCACCACATGCCAGCCAGCCCCGCCCCCTGGTGGGCTGAGCTGGCCACACACACACACAATGAATAAATGTAATAAATAAAAATAAATAAATATTTAAAAAAAAAAAAACTATTCACCTCAGCCCTGAGGAGAGTTGTAAATTCTGTCAGATACTTGTGCAGTCTGGAAGTATGGTTTGAAACAGTCATAAAGCAGAATACATCTGAAAGACATGTTCTGGAATAGCAAAGAAGTGTCATGATGAAAACAGACCTAGACCGGAAGGAAAGAAGCTCCACAGAGAACAGGCACCATAAACACAAGTAATTTTGGAAAGTCTTGAGATACAACTCCTTCATTAACCACCAGAGAAATCATATTGTTGAGCAACCTATAAGTATAAAAAATATGGAATAATCTTTATGAGCAAACTATGCCACTATCACTTCTTTTACATCATCATGAAATTCACATAGGTAGGCAACTCCATGCATGTATTCAGTATGGAGAATTCCTCCAGAAGCACTCAATGCTTATTTATTAATAATCAGAGAATTCCTTCTAGAGAGAAACCTTGGAAATGGAATACATCTGAAAAGCCTCTAAGAATGATATCCTTTCAAAGACATCAGAGAATTCAAAATAGTCAAACACTACAAATGTCATAACAGACAAAGCCTTTGTTCAGAGGCAGTCTTTATCATTAGGAGAGAATACATGGAGAGAAGACTTTTGAATGCACGAAATGTGGGAAAGCTTTCAGAGATAACTAACTTGTATAGATCATCAGAAAAGCCATCCTCCTGAAAAAATAGTATAATTAACGCAGAAAAGTCTTGGGGAAGAACTCATGTGTTATTAGTCATGAAAAATGCATACAGGAGAGAAATCTTCTCATTACTATAAATGTGGATACTCCTTCAGGGCCATCATATCCTTTGCTGGACATCAGAAAACTCATAGTGAAAATAACCAGGTCAGTATGGTAGCTGTGGAAAAGCTATTAGGAAGAGTTCTAGTCTTACTGAACAATAGGGAATTCATCTGAAGAACACTAGCATGAGAAGAAATGTGGGAAAGCCTTCAGGCACAATTCAAGCCTGGAGAACATCAGAGAATCTATATCTTACAAAGATAATGAATATAGAAGCCTTTACCCTAAAGTTTAGTCTTTAAGCAATATAAGCAACATAAGAAAAGAGGGGTGGGGAGATAGCTCAATAGAATAAATGCTTGCCTGGCAAGCGCAGAGTCCTGAGTTCAATCCCCGGTACTGCAAAAAAAAAGAAAATTCTAAAAAGAGTCATCAAATGTAGTCAGTACAATAAACCACACAAAAGTAGTTTATTCCTTCTGATGATCAAATAGGAGATAGTCAATAAATTATATCATTAACAAATATATTCTATACACCAATAGCCTGGAAATCTTCCCATACATGAGGATATTGATTGTTCAGTGGCTTCTACTGGTGAAATAGCTGAAAAACCTAAATGTCTATCAGTATGGAAATAGTTACGATGGAATACAACATAGTAATTGAAAAGAAAGATAGATCTCTATATGTAGCTGTGAAAATATCCCCATAATACTTTGTTAAGTTAAAAAAAAAAAAAGTTAAACAGGGCCAGCCAGATAGCTCAGTGGACTAAAGTCCCTGCTT